GATTAACATTTTTCCTAAGATTGTTCAACTAATAAACAATGTAAGGAGATTTACATCCAGGGCTACTTGGTTCCATAGCTTATGCTGTTAACCATTTCCCTAGTGGGGATAACAATATCTAATAGAAAGCTAGGCCCAGAAAAGACACTTAACATAGACTGGTCAAGAACACTGATGAAGACCTGAAGACAAATCTTTGGCAGGTCAACAGTTGGTGGTCCTATTGGTAACATATGATGTAAGTCATCCCTATTGGACTCTAAGTACCAACATATTGATTTACCTATGCCTCCTCCACTTGATTGAAGAGATGCCTCATCCTCATTTGGCCATTCTCTTTTCAGAAGAGGCCTTAACTAGAGTTATCACACCTTTTATTATTTGGAGGATGTCATTCCCATCACACCAGCTGGAGAGATGTGCCTCTTTTCCCCTGGGATAGTACTTCAGATACCCTTCCCATTGCTTCCATCTCGGACAGAAAAAAGTTCCAGAACGTGGCATTTCTTAAGGGTTACTGATCTGAAAAGTCCCTGAGTAATGGACATGCTGGATTTTTACTCAACATGGACCAAGTAATCTGTGAGGGCTCAATTCTGAGACATGGTGGTGGAATGCTCAGTCTTAGTTGAGATGCTCAAAAAATATTCATCTTGGAGATACTCTCCACTGTTCAGATCAAGATAGTGATGTGCTCTAGTGGGAAAGACACCAGCCTAGAAGCTAGATCTGCTACTGTGCTACTGACAGAACGTGGGACAACCTCAGACAAGTAATTTTCTCTGAACTCTTTTTTTCATATATAAAATGAAAGTGATGGATTATGTAGGTCCAATAGGCCCAGGAAAGACACTTAACATAGACTGGTCAAGAACACTGATGAAAGCCTGAAGACAAATCTTCTTAATAATGAAGAGTTCTGTGACTTCAGAAGGTGATGGGATTATAATGATGGAAGTAGAAAAAGACAGGAGCCTGGCATTTAACCCTACTAGTTACTTACCTGATTCTGTGTGTGTGGGTGTATGTGTGGGGGTGCAGGTGAACAGGGAGGGAAAAATAGCTAAGAACCTGAAATTTGAGGGGTTAGAAGCTCCTACTTCTGAATGGAGAAATGGAATCCTAAGGTGTAGGAACTCTAGGAAAACGTGATTAGTAACTAACTTATAAAGCTGGTTCTCCAGCTGCCAGGTCATTCTACCTCTAGGGACTAGGGTGTCATTCTCACCCTACTCATCTCCAACTATGTTCCCAGAGTCAAGAGTAACCTTAAGAAAATTGGAGCAAACTTTGTCTCATCTCATTTTCAGCTTGGGAGCTGGTTGTAAAGTCTCCTTGTTCAGATGGAGGTGCTAGTTGGCTTGGGGGTGGGGCAGGAGGCAGGATAGGGTCTCTGGCTGTCTTAGTTGAATTTACAGGTGATCTCAGAACTGGACATTTCAGGAATTCAAGCCTTTGCCTATGTCTTCCAGCACCTGAAGTCTACTGGGCAGGACTGTTTATCCTATCTCAAAGTTTCATTGATATTTCTTCCGTGCTACAAGGACAGGCACATAGAAGGGACTCAGAGGTGTCCACAGACAGTACTTCCATTTCAGGAGCCACACAACCTAGAGTTGTGGCACCTTGGTGTTCAGGTGATGTGAATGAAGTGGAACCACACCAGGACCTCCTGAGATGTGACAAACCATTTCCTTCTTTTGGCTGACCACAAAATCCTATTGTTTTAACAGATACTGAGAAAAAGAACATCTTAAAAACCTGGGCTCTTCTCTTCCCCCCTGATCTGATGAGAGATGTTGAAGGGACAATTTCATATCAAAACCATATGGTTTTATCAAAGCCAAAAAGATAATTTATTAACTAAAAATCTAATATGTAGATAACATATGCCCACATTGAAAACACGCACATTTAGCTGAAGAGAAAAATGTGAGCTAGGAGGAGGCTGCCACAGCCTCCGTCTCCCTAATGATTACAGACTTCACCCAGCTATGCTCCTTTAGGCCTCTTCCCTGTCTAGAGTCTTTGGCCAGCAAATAACTAGTATAAACAATAGTCGAAGCAGGACCAAGTGAAAAGAGTGGCTCTCGAAGAAAGAGTGTCTTTCTTCCCATGACATTTGTCCCCACCATGGGTCAGATTTGAAAAAACACAAGTATGCTTCCCAGAACGGTGACTGTCAGCAACAGCTTTTCCTTGATTAACTTTAAACAACTTGATTAAACCAACCATTTTGGACGCTACTTAGGGAGCTTCCATGGGACTTATTTTGTCCTTTCCCATTTTGCAGACATTATTTTTTTCCTCATAGAATGGTGAGCAGGAGAGTAGTCAATGTTGTAGCACTATTTGCAGTACCCCCACTGTGTGTCCAGCCTTGCTTTGGGGAGCAAATCTCAACCACTCGCTGTTGAGAGGACTTAACAGAGAGGAAAGGCAGACTCCTTTTGCCAGACACTCTCCCTTGGAGAGACAGCCTCAAGGCTCTACAACAGCCTTTTTACATACATTTCAAGGGAAAATACAGATTAAAATGTTAACATACACTATTCAATTAATAATGAAGACACTAGGTTATACACAAATTCATATGCAATTGCCCTGATAGCCATAAAATGCCTCACTCACTGCCATTAAATCAATTCTGACTCATAGCAACCCCATTGGATTTCCAAGACTGTAAATCTTTACATAAGTAGATTGCCCCACCTTCTTTCCCTAGAGTGGCTGGTGGGTTTGAACTGCTGACCTTCTGGTTAGCAGCCAAATATTTTATCCACTATGCTACCAGAGCTCCTTATACAAAATACCTACAGGGTAGAAAAAGGCAAAAAAAGAAAAGAAAAAGGTAGAAAAAGGTGGGGGTAGGTCAAAGTGTGGCTTATGAAAATATGTCGACTGACACTCTGCTGAAAACTTATCTTTGCTCTTCCAAATTGCCCATCCAGAGGGGAGATAAAGAATCAATTAAACTCCATTCTGTGACATGTGACCCCCCAAACCCTTTAATTTAGACCCTGTTTATGATTCTTTTAAAAGGAAAACAAAGAGATTACAATATTTTTTTGGTCCTTCTAGAATCTTCTCACTCCAAAGAGTAGTAAGGATACTGGTGTCCAGAATGCGGGACTGTGATCATGGCTGGTACATGTGGAAGGTACACTGAAGTTGGTCATGACACTTGGGATGAGAAAAGATGCTTCTGGAAACTTTAACTGAGGAAATGGCTGAGGGCTTCTAGTTTGCCATCCACCGACTTCTGCCACGCTAAGAAAGCTCCATATCCCAAAGGCTTTCTGAAATGGAATGCGACTGATTTAGTTACTCTCACAGGGGTAAACCAAAAACCAAACCAAACTCGCTGCTGTTGAGTCGGATGTGACTCATAGTGACCTCTCTGTGGGTTTCTGAGACAGTATCACTACGGAAGTAGATTGCTCAATCTCCCTTCCTCTGAGTGGCTGGTGGGTTTGAACTGCCAGCCTTCTAGTTAGCAGTTAAGTGCCTTAGGCACTGACCACATTTGGATGTGGATCTATCGAAATCTATGGAGGGTTGCCAATGAGGCCAAAATAATCTAGTTTTGAACAAGAATTCAGGGAAGCTGTCCAGGCTTACTAAGTGCAGGCTGCTCTGTGTGGTCTGACCTTGGCTACCGATACTGACAAAAAGGCTTGTTTCCAAGCCCAGGGTTGGTGAAAGGGAGAGAAATAGAGTAACACCCTTCAGATAAAACAGTCATCAAGTAATATACATCTGGGGACACACCCCTTCCAATTTTGGAAAGTTTTAAATTCACTGGTTATATCAAGCTCCTCACTTGATTTGAGAGTCCACTAGAGTCTACTGTGAGCTCAAGAATCCATCTCAGAAGTTCTACTGAATAGGAGGACAGAGGAGAAAAGAGGTCTCAATGTACTTCTTCCATAGGCTTTCTCGTGTCACAGTGAGGCCCGATGGGAAAGAAAGGGGGTCCTTGCTTGGGGTGGTGGACGATAACCTGGAAGTGAACATGGTCCTTTGGGGCATGGGACAGTGGCAGACCAGCAGGCTGCAGCAGCTGAATCTACTCTCCCTATAGTGGGACTTTGCCCAGATACAACCATGAGAAGTTCCCTGGAGTGCATGTGATGGAAGGATGGATAAAACAGACAACTGGGTCAGCAAAATAGAGACTGCTCTTATTTCTCCTGAGATATTGAAGGGGTAGTCACTTCAACACTAGTAGGAAATGCTTTCAGGTTTGTACCTCCCCAGGGCAATCACTCCCTTACATGATTTAAAGCCTGTTTCAAAGGGCTGGCTGGTTCACATTGAACCTTCTGCCCATGGGATAGGCAGCTACCAGACTGATGACTACTGGAACTAACTCACAACTGGCCCTCAGTATTGTTATGATAAGTGTACCAACTACAACTTGAAAATGAAATGATTATATTCAGATAGAGGTAGGTGGTGAGAGAACAGAATGGAGAATGTGAAAGGGTCTATTTTTTTTGAAATTGTTAACTTTACAAAAGGGCTACATTTAAATTAGAAGATATTTTACTAGAAAAGTTTTGCTGTGTACAATAGAGAACCAATCCTTTTCAGCAGAAGACTGAAAAGGAAACACTCTTGGAATGAGGCTGACTATGCAATGGTCTCTGTCAGGCAGAAAGTGTCCCAGGTTTATTTTCTAATCTTTGCTTGGCACAGAAAAGATACCACCTCTTCTCTCAGTCCCCACAGTGTATTATCTACTGACTGGTCTGACCAAACACACACACACACACACACACACACACACACACACACACACATCTTGTGTGTCCAGTAGAATGGGCTCAGGGCAAGACTGAGATTTCTAAAGAAAATGTATAACAGGACGATAGTGAGCTAGGTCCCTGTGAAAGGACAGAAAGAATTCTTGGCAATCAAATAATTAAAAATGATAGCTCAGTATATAAAGAAACCCATAAATTTCCTAAGGAAAGTTTGCAGCATGCACTTCATTGTCAAATGAAAAAGATATCTTCCAGAATCTGATTCTCCTCCAGCTCTTCGGGGGTCCTAGCTGCCCCCATCTTGTTCCGGGTTTGTTTTAGAAGACTGAGTCGGAAGGTATTGTGATTCAAGGCACCAGCTTCTCTGGAGGGACGTGGCTGGGGTTTGGGGGCAGACTTTGAACTCAGAGACTGAACCAGATCCAACAGAGATGTCTCATACCTGTAATACACACAACCGAGACAGAAAATGATCAGACCATGAGGACATTAGAATCCAAGTAGTCTTGTAGAGATGAGCTACCCAGGGCAAGATAGAGATCACCATCACATCATGCATGAGAGTGCCCCCTAGGGGAACTGCAGGAAAGGCAAAGACCAGAAGCACTCAAGAACCAAGGCCTCTGCTGCCTGCCCATAAGCTCTACTCTTCTGCTGAACCCTATTATACCTTCCTAACCTGTGGAGAGAGCCTGTGCAGTGGGAAAAGTAATAATGATAATATAATTATATTAATATTTATTCCTTTTCTTCTGCTATAAATAGCTTGGAGCTAGGTCAAACTGATGCCTCCTTCCTGGATCAGTAATGACTGAAATGGCAAGTATACTCTTAGAGGAGGGGACCCACAGCTGTTGGGCTCTTCCGCCAGCTCTCTGACCCAGGATCTAGTGCTTCAGAAATGAACAGGGCAAAGGATATAAACAGGTGCAGTATACAAGAAATACAAATGGCCAATATTTCCTATGTTGTTGGTGTTGTTGTTATGTGCCATCGAGTAGGACCTGACTCATAGCAAGCCCTCCTTGGGCTTCCCAGGCAGTATCACTACGGAAACAGATTGCCCAATCTTCCTTCTGAGGAGTGGCTGGTGGGTTTAAACCACCAGCCTTCTGGTTAGCAGTCAAGTGCCTTAGGCATTACACTATCAGAGTTTCCTATAATCACTAGTAATCAGGGAAATGGAAAGTTAAAACAAAGATACAATTGGGGAAGGGGTAAGTTGGTAAATATTTAAAAAAAATAATAATCCACAGTGTTGGTAAACGGGTGGAAAGACAAGGGCTCTCATCTCTTGCTAGTGGGAACATAAATAGGTACAATAGTTTTTGGAGGACAAAATGCATATACCTATCACCGTGTAGGGAACTCTGGTAGCATAGTGCCTAAGGCACTTGACTGCTAACCAGAAGGCTGGAGGTTCAAACCCATCAGCCACTCCTCGGAAGGAAGGTTGGACAATCTACTTCCGTAGTGATACTGCCTTGGAAACCCAAGGAGGGGTCTCTGTGAGTCGGGTCCAACTCGACGGCACATAACAACAACAACAATAATTACCGTGTAAAAAAGTGTGCATACACTGACTCCTCAATTCCACTCCTGGGAATTTGTCATACAGAAATACTTTTACATGTATACCCAAATTGAACCAAACTCATTGCCATCAAGTCCATCCCAACCTATAGTGACCCCTATTCAGTTTCCAAGGTTGTAAATTTTCACGGCAGCAGATAGTCTTATCTTTCTTTCGCAGAGCAGCTCGTGGGTTTGAATCACTGACATTCTGGTTAGCAACCAAATGCCTTAGCCACTACACCACCAGAGCTCCTTTTTACGTGTGTACAAAGGTATAAATATAAGGTTGTTCACTGCAGCCTTGTAAAAGCAAATATTTGAGTTGTCCACCAATTAAGTGGTTGGTGGGAATAAATCTTGGTGCAATCACAATGGAATACTACGTAACCCTGAAAATAAAGGGGGGCAGATAATCTATGTACAGACACAGAAACACATTCATTGTATAATATTAGTTGTAAAAATTACATTGCTGTATATTTTTAAAACCACTGACATACAGAGAACCTATGAATGCCCTACCTGGGCAAGTACCCTGTTCTCTACTACTGCTCCAACTGCCTTCAGCACTGGAAGGCTTGGGATGTCTGGAATGTCTGGACTCACTGCAGGAAACTGCCTGAATTATGCTTAAGCTTGCTTTTCTGGACACTTCTTTTGTTGCTGGCTTCTGTTGTTCATTGTCCAAAGTTCCTTCCCTGCCCTAGAGAGTAGTCTATACCAGATTTTCCCTTTCACTTACTCTATATTGCTAAGGAAGGAGATCTGGTAGCGCAATGCCTAAGGCATTTGATTGCTAGCCAGGAGGTTGGGGGTTCAAACCCACCAACTACTCTGTC